TAAGATAAATCCAAGTGTTTTAATTAAATAAATTGTCTCCCACACCATAATTATTTATGCCACATGTCGAATCCCCTTTAAAAGCAACTTCACAAATATCTCCTGGAGTAATTTTCTAGATAAACCCCAGCCATTCCTTTTTCAAAATTTATCTAATCTTCAAAAATCCAAAAAGATAAAGAAAAGTCAAACTTACTTTTCTTTTTTCCTTTTGCATAATTGCCGGCTGCACTCTTTTTTCTTCTCACCATTTGTGGCCCCATCAACCTTTATTTTAATTTTCAATTTTCAAAAAGCAAATCCCAAAAGCAAGGATTAGTTGAAAATTAAAAATTAAAAATTAACTTTATCTTCTCCAAACACCACGACACCGACTTTCTCTTCCATTTTCTTTTGCTTTTACCGCCGGCTGCTACTAATTTCATACCTTCAATTTTTCTTTTCCAGACCCACAAAATCAAAACTAGCAAACCGGTTCCTTTCTTCAAGATCCACTACCGGCTGCTCCCTTTCTTCATTTTTTTTTTTTATTTTGTTTCTCCAAATCCAACCAAAACCAGCTACCCACTTCTTTTAACTTCCAGATCTACTACCGGCTGCACTCTTCCTTTGCTTGTTTGTCCAGATTTGCTCGGTGGTCCCCCCGGAGACTCTTCTTGCTTCACAGGTAGCTGTTGGCTACTTTTCTTTCACACTTTATTCACAAAACACTGTCTTGCTCATGTCCGGTGGCTCCCACTGCCGAGACTCCTCTTGTGACTGTTGGTTGACTGCCTTTCTTCTTCTTCTTCTTCTTTTTTTTTATGTGTGTAGGTCTGTCCGGCTTGTGCCCGGTACTCACTTCCAGGCAGCCTTTCCTTGCCAAAATCATCCCCATGGCTCATGACCGAGAAGAGCAAACCATGCCCACCGGATCTGCTTCCATGGCCGGTTCAAAGGCCACTCCTTGCTTGAGGTCACCTCCCCCAAATTTAATTGAAATCTTTCAAAACCGTAACCTTCAAGATGATATAAACAGGGTACTCCAAAAACAGAAACCATGCCATTCAAGCCAAACTTTCGTTCCCCATAAAAAATCTCAGATTTTGGGCCCTTATTTTGTGTCTCATCCGCTGTTCTGGCCCCTCCACAACTCACCAAAAAATCTGAAGGGAAGAATGTTGTAAAAGAGAATGAGGACCTGGAATCTGCCATGGCCGCCCAGATCAGCCAGCTAGATCTGCCAGGGAGAGCTCCCAAACTTCAAGTCAAAAGGAAATTTGTTGCTCCTGCAGATTCCACGGAAGAGGATACCCCCACCAAGCAGCGAAGAACCGGAGGTAAATCCGCTTTGGCTTGCAACTTTGTGACATGTTTTCTGCTAACA